CTGACAATAAATCCTTAATGGTTACCAAAAACAAAAAACCTGCTCTGAAGGTTATTTTCATTTTACAAATCCTGCACTCAGCTTTGCTTTCTCCAATATCATTGAAATGCAGCCAGATGCTGCTTCTTTTTTTGGTTTTCGCTAAATTCTTGACTTTTTCCGACACGCTTGCATTTAAATCCGGCTCCCCGTCTCCCTGTTGCTCTGTAGCTGGCCTGTACCACTACACCTGCTGTCTTTTGAGCGTCTGCCCCCCACCCTTCTTTCACATAATGGTATGATCTTAGTGTGTCCTCGCATATGATTGGCCACATGGTGGCTCCGCAAAATAAAGTCCCGCCCCTGCCTGCATGGATTCACAGCAAGAGTAGGAGCAGCTGAAGATTCTGCTCTCCCCGACTGGAGTCTGCTCTTCTCGAAGCATCTCGCGATCTGCGTGTTGGAGACCCCTGAATTAAAGTATCAAGTCACCTCAAGTCAGAAGGCTCAAGTCCAAGTCAAGTCCTGAGTCATTGGTGTTCAAGTCCAAGTCGAGTCGCAAGTGTTTTGTGATTTTGTCAAGTCGAGTCCAAAGTCATCGAATTGGTGACTCGAGTCTGACTCGAGTCCAAGTCATGTGACTCGAGTCCACACCTCTGCTATTTAGCTTAAGCTAGTTGGGAGAAAAATGCCTACAGATGACTTCCACAAACTTCTACAGAAGATGGTCGTGTTGGAAATGAAAATGCAACGGTTGGAAGTTAACGTGGAAGTGAATGGACTAGGTTGGAATGACACCACTTTACCAGTGTTGCAAAAATAATGGACAAAGGCATGCTAACTCACAGCTAGTTAGCAGATACAAGGATTCCAAGGAACAGGAGGGCTGTGTACCGGGTAATAAATCTACAAGTGGTAGTCCTCCCTGGAACTCTCTGGTTGCAAAGCCTAAGAGTAAATCATTTCTATGGGATTTGGGAGGACGAATAACAGGCAGAGCCCAGCGCTCTGAAATCTGTGATGCATCCGGCTGGCCTGCGTTGTTATCACCCAGGAAGAGCGCCTCTTCAAACCCCTATTCATAATAGGAAACAGCCGTGGACAGCTGCTAAAGGGAGAACTACAAACAATCCTCCTAAACCACCGAGTGTGCCAATCCAGAACAGATACGCTCCGCTGACCCAGAAACGGAGATCTCTTTCTGATGACCTAGATAACCTGTCCTCTTGACATAGCAGGGTAAGGAACAATAGCTACTCCAAAAGTAAAAGGCTAGAGGGAAACGACTGGGCCTGCAACTCTGATTGTGGGTGATGTAAAATGTCTGTGTAGTAAGAACAACACCAAAGTACTCTTTAATCAATAACCTCAAATGGAAGACCAACACAAACCACATCTACAAAAAGCCAACCAAAGGCTATTCTTTCTGCGGCAGCTCAAGAAATACAGAGTGAGGAAACATCTCCTAATCCAGTTCTACACAGCCATCATCCAAAGCATCCTCACATCATCCATCACAGTCTGGTACAGCAGTTCAGACACCCACTCCCGGAATAAACTTCAACGTATCATCAATAAAGCATCAAAAATCACCTGAAGTCCCCTTCCATCACTCAAATCACTTCACCACCAACGAACTGTCACAAGGGCAAAGAAAATCACTTCTGACCCGTCCCACCCAGCTCACCATGTCTTCCAACTTCTGCCCTCAGGGAGGCGCTACAGGTCACTGTCCACCAAAACCACCCGCTTCAAAAACAGCTTCTTCCCCTTTGCAATACGGACACTAAATGGACTCTAAGTAACCCCAATGAACAATCACAATCCATCACACATTGAACTTTATGTATATGTCATGATGTATGTATTTGCCCTGTGCTGTGTGTTGTACTTTTTATTGTCTGTTATTGTATGTTGAATTGTATGGAACAAGCTGTAATAATCTGCACTGAACACGAATTCCACCAGCCTGGCTGTGTGGTCATTAAATATTCTAATCTAATCTCTGTTTTCCCAAGGATGTGGTCTCTGACTTGGCAGAGAAGATCCTGCATATTGGGGCTGAACATCCAACTGTAAAAAATGTGGTACTGCACATTGGAACAAATTATGTTGTGAAACAACAGTCAGAAGTGCTGAAAGAAGAATTTAAATGTTTCTTGGAAACTGTCAGCTCTCTAAATGCGGAGGTGTTCATCAGTGGCCCTCTACCGCCAGTCAGAAGAGGAGTGGAGAGATTCAGCAGATTGTTTGCACTGAACACCTGGCTTTCAACTGCCTGCACTGACCATTCTGTCCATTTTATTGACAATTTTAACTTTTTCTGGGACCGCAGACATCTTTTTAAGGCAGATGGAGTTTGCCTGAACAAGTCAGGAGTGAAATTGTTTGTCTCGAACATATTAAACTGCCTGCATCATCAATATGTTCCCAAAGACAAGCGGCAAGAGGAATCAAAACAAGAGAAAGACACAACATATCGCTCAGAAAACCTTGAAGAAGTATCACTGCAGCCGCCTGAGGAATGTCTTGATTATGGGAGACCTATGACACAAATGGAGGAGTCTCCACCACCCTTCAACCCCCCTATAACCGTTGAGGATACTCTTCCTTCACCCCCCAGCTCTCTCTACTCTCCCTTTCACCCTCGCCCACCCTCCTGGAGTTCGACCACATGAAGGAGATACAGACGGTTGGCACCAAATCCTTCCTGGAGATTAATGACCGCATGAAGGCGATACTCAGGGTTAGCAGCATGTCCTTTACCCCCGCCCCTCAACGACGCCCACCACAAGCACCGAACCATCTCCCCCGTCTTCATCACCGTGCCTACGTCAACCACCTCCCCCCCCTTCAAGACAGCATCTGCGGTCTCCAAAGCCTGATAAGAATGTGTGTGTACAAAACGCAGCAAACTCTAACTGATATGTGCTGGGTCCAGGCTCAAGAAGGTATGGTACTCTCAACTATTTCCAGGACAAGCCGGGGCCCTGGTTGCCAGTAGCTTTGCCGATATCTGTGTTGATAGGTAATACACTGAACAAAAATATAAATGCAACACTTTTGTTTTTGCTCCCATTTTTCATGAGATGAACTCAAAGATCTAAAACATTTGCTATATACACAAAATAACCATTTCTCTCAAATATTGTTCACAAATCTGAAAAAATCTGTGATAGTGAGCACTTCTCCTTTGCCGAGATAATCCATCCCACCTCACAGGTGTGGCATATCAAGATGCTGATTAGACAGCATGATTATTGCACAGGTGTGCCTTAGGCTGGCCACAATAAAAGGCCACTCTAAAAAGTTCAGTTTTATCACACAGCACAATGCCACAGATGTCGCAAGTTTTGAGGGATGGTGCAATTGGCATACTGACAGCAGGAATGTCCACCAGAGCTGGTGCCCGTGAATTGAATGTTCAGTTCTCTACCATAAGCCGTCTCCAAAGGCGTTTCAGATAATTTGGCAGTACATACAACCGGCCTCACAACCGCAGACCACGTGTAACCACACCAGCCCAGGACCTCCACATCCAGCATGTTCACCTCCAAGATCGTCTGAGACCAGCCACTCGGACAGCTGCTGCAACAATCGGTTTGCATAACCAAAGAATTTCGGCACAAACTGTCAGAAACCATCTCAGGGAAGCTCATCTGCATGCTCGTCGTCCTCATCGGGGTCTCGACCTGACTCCTCGTAACCGACTTGAGTGGGCAAATGCTCACATTCGATGGCGTCTGGCACGTTGGAGAGGTGTTCTCTTCACGGATGAATCCCGGTTTTCACTGTTCAGGGCAGATGGCAGACAGCGTGTGTGGTGTCGTGTGGGTGAGCGGTTTTCTGATGTCAATGTTGTGAATCGAGTGGCCCATGGTGGTGGTGGGGTTATGGTATGGGCAGGCGTATGTTATGGACGACGAACACAGGTGCATTTTATTGATGGCATTGTGAATGCACAGAGATACCGTGACGAGATCCTGAGGCCCATTGTTGTGCCATTCATCCATGACCATCAGCCACACCTGTGAGGTGGGATGGATTATCTCGGCAAAGGAGAAGTGCTCACTATCACAGATTTTTTTCAGATTTGTGAACAATATTTGAGAGAAATGGTTATTTTGTGTATATAGAAAATGTTTTAGATCTTTGAGTTCATCTCATGGAAAATGGGAGCAAAAACAAAAGTGTTACATTTATATTTTTGTTCAGTGTAAATAAACTTGCCTTGCCTTACAAATCCCTGGCCCAGAAAGCTTATTCTAAGTCTATCAACAAGTATAGCTGAGTTGGTTAGGAATGTTAGCTATTGGGTCCATCTTGAACCAAAGAGTAACGGCCCGTTCACACTACAGCTTCGACAGCTTCAAAAACGGTTTCCAACGCGTCTGCCCATTCACTTTGAATGGGGTGACGTCACTTTTTGCCGAACTGCATTGTGGGAAGCAGTGCGGAGCTTTCCTGGCGTTTCAGGCTGCAAAAGTTGAGCAATGTTCAACTTTTGAAGCTTCTGAAGCTTTCGGTGGAAGCGTCAGCCAATCAAATCATATGCCAGTACAAGCTCTAGCCAATCAAACCGCTGCTTGTGTGTCATGGGCGGGAGATTTATGTGATTAGTTGTTGGTCGAGCTTCAGACACGCCCAGCTCCAAGCTTTTTTTAAAGCTTTTAAGTAGTGTGGACGGGCCGTAATTAAAATGTGGATGCTGGATGAAAAGTCAGAGGTAGTACGTTTTTACTAAAAGAAAAATATGTCAGAAGAAAGTCAGGGAATTCATCATTTTTGGAAAGTGGAGTTTGATGGCAATCCATCCATCGTTTTTAAAGGTATTTTAGTGTATATTAAAGTGGTCGACTGACTGACCGACTACATTGCCATCATATTATATTATATTAATTCTCCAATATTACATTTGCCAATGTTTTTACATGTGTGTTCACTGATACAGCATAAACAGTTGCAGCATATCTTAAGTTAATCCTATGTGAAGGACACCAACCGTTTGTGGTGTATCTTACCACACTGTCCAGTCCCAACAGAATGAGCATAATGAAGAAGCAGGCGGCCCACAGCTGAGGCAGGGGCATCATGGCAACAGCCTGAGGAAAAGCGATGAATGCTAGCCCCGAGCCTGCGAGGACAGAAGAGACATTTGAATTGTTGTGAGGGTACTTTTGATTCTGAGAGAGATGGTAGAGATGGTAGCTTTGCACTTGAAAATCGTACCTGATGTGACGACCTTTTCGATGGGAATGCCCTGTTTTTCGGCCATGAATCCGAGACATGAGAAGACTACAAACCCGGAAACTAAGCTGGTGCAACAATTGAGCACACATAACCACACACTGTCCCTGCATACACAAACACAAAGCACAGCATGCAGAGCAGAACTCAGTGGGAAAATGTACTGACAGTAATATACTTTATGTTGTTGGGCGGACAATCCGTCCTTAGGTAGTTTTGATGTTCTTATTGCCCCTAGATGTATCTATATCTTAAGGTAGTTCTAGTTTTCATCTTTGAGATTTACAAAAGAAAGCACAGCTACACTTCATCCCCTATTTCTTAGTATTGTTTGAATGCAGTCATACATTATTATATAACCCAGTACGTGGCAGATACTCAAAGAAAATAAAAACTCAATCAACAAAAGCTCCCAATATATTAATGGAGCTACTGATCACATGACTAACCTATAACAGTTGTTTGTGACTTTGTTGTAGCTGCTCATTGTGATATGGGTTCCTGTTGCGACGCCATAGGAGAAGAGGACCTGGGCACAAGCCTCCATCCACACCTCATGAAGAAAGATTTAAAAAACACGTATTTAGATCATCAGCGTTATAACAGTCACAGGAGGATCTTGTTTCATCTACCTTCATTTGTGTATTCAATTCAGGTAGGTGTGAAACTGTGCAGGGTCTACCTGAAGGTCCACCAGGCGAGAAGGATCTGGATACAGGTAGTAGACCACACCCTGCCAGGCCCCCGGGAACGTCAACCCCCTGACCAGCAAGATGGCCAGCATCACATAGGGGAACACAGCCGTGAAATACACCACCTGAGATGAATAAAAACAATCCTCTATGTTTATTATGTTACCTGTTTGTAGAGGTCTACTTAATATGTTATACTGCACATGAACAATACAACAACATGAACAATGGTAGGTAGCTCATTTGAATTAAGAGGAATCAATTGTACAGCTGCCAGGAGATGCACATCCTGCACCTGGTAGGATACCTGCAGAAAGGTTGTAACGGGTAAAAAATACATTTATATAAATTAATGCTGTCAAAATTATCGCCTTAACGGCGGTAATTCGTTTTTTGAATTAATTGCGTTAAAATATTGAACGCATGTGCAGAATGGCCCGCCCCATACGTGCCACCAGTGGCAGCGCCAGGGTATGGCTACACCCATACCAAGAAATGGCTTAGCCCCACCATGAACAATGATGTTAAATAAGCTAAATAAAGTCCGCCAACTCGCGCCGAGAATTGCACAGAGGGCAGTTAGTAAGATTGATTTCAGTAGCCACTTGTCTGGAAATACCGAAGACCAGAAACGGTTTTGAAAACTTTTGTCACGTAGTGATCGTCTTCTCAATAGAATATCTTTGATAATGTCTTCTGGCCAATCAGAATCAAGATAACGGCGTGGTGTTGTTGCAGGAAGTCCCGACGGATAATACTTTTGCTGTAGTACAGGGGTGCACATAACTGGTACACAGGTTATGTGCGTAATCTGAAATGCGTACCGTCACTTGTGTCACAAAGCGCATTTGCGTACCGACGGACGACAGAGTCGGTCTCCGTGTGCACAGACAGGGCTGCTGTTAACGTCGGTCTGTACAACGGAATTGTGCCAAAACTAGCCAACCGGCTGCGGAGGGAGACTCCCCCTCCTTCACTGGAGAACTGCGCTAAAACAGCTGATCACAACGTTCACGCTCTGTGGTCACGAAGTACTCCACTAGCCCCCCCCTCCGTCGACTTTCCTGAAGTACTCCCCCGTTGATAGAAATCAACACGTAATGGATTAAGACCCCACGGTTTGATGATTGATAGGTGTGTGGGCAATCTTTCATTTTGACACACAGAACAATGTTATAATAAACATACTGTATGTGAAATGGATATATCCGCCTTCTTTCATTTATCTTTCCATTCCCACAACAATATACATAAAGAAATGGCATATTTTGGACATAGTTCGAATGGTGATTAATCATGATTAATTAATTTTTAAACTGTGATTAATCTGATTAAAAATTGTAATCGTTTGACAGCCCTAATATAAATCCAAGGGCACAAACACAGATAGAAAAAATGCATGTCATTGGAGTTAATGTCTAATATTTTAGAGGAGAGTGGACAATGTCTTTAATCCCAATCAAACTTGGAATGTGTACGTTTTCTTTGCAAAACTACAGGTGGCATTGTTAGGAACATATCACTCGTCACCGGCTTGAGCTTCAATAATCAGGATACATGTATTTATTATCCTTACAAGAATGGAAGTAGTCATCACATCAATCAATCAATCAATGTTTATTTATATAGCCCAATATCACAAATGTTACATTTGTCTCAGTGGACTTCACAGTTTGTACAGAATATCAGTATGACAATACGACACCCTCTGTCCTTAGACCCTCACATCGTACAAGGAAGAACTTCCGAAGAAAACCCACAGTTTAAAGGGAAAAATGGGAGAAACCTCAGGGAGAGCAACAGAGGAGGGATCCCTCTCCCAGGACAGACAGACGTGCAATAGATGTTGTGTGTAAATCGAAGAGATAATACATTTACAGCGTAGGTAGACCACATGTTTGGAAATGCATGTGTCTATAATAAGAAGATGAATCCACAAGGATGTCAACAATCCTGTGGGAGCCATCAGGGAAGTAGTATGATGAGAGTCAGGCAGGACCGCAGAGACTGGTTCAGCCACGACTCGAAGTCCAGGACTCAAATCCAGAATTCAGGATAGAGGATCCAGGACAAAGGACCGCAGCAACAGGATCAGCCAGGACTCAGGATCCCGGCGTAGATAGAAACCAAAAAGAAATTTGGGGGAAGCTGGGTTATTTGGAACATGAGAGTACACAGATACAGACAGACAGAAGGAAGATATAAGGTGTCCCCCGACAGTCTAAGCCTATAGCAGCAAAACTAACGTGTCTGCGTACATGCACTCCCTTAGGATAGGTTGAGGGAAAGGGGTAGCAAGTAAGAAGTAAGGAACAGAGGCCAAAATTAAATCCACCAAGGGCCTTGAGTTTGACACATGTAGTCTACACACACAACCAAATTACATCTATACCATGAGCACATTGCTCGTAAATAGTGTTTCTGGCACTGACACCAATCAGCAGTTGTGCGTCGACTCGGCAGGGATCAAGGCACGTGTATGCCTCTCCCTGCTTCCACCGTCTACCAGAGGTGGGACCAAGTCATTGTTTTGCAAGTCCGAGTCAAGTCTTAAGTCTTTGCGCTCAAGCCCGAGTCAAGTCTCAAGTCTTTGCGCTCAAGTCAGAGTCAAGTCTCAAGTCTTTGCGCTCAAGTCCGAGTCAAGTCTCAAGTCAGGATGGGCAAGTTCAAGTCAAGTCCTAAACTTTGACAAAACAAGTCTTAAACAAGTCATTATGTGCTTTTCACCAAATGTAATGACATCGATCAACAGAATAATACTTAATAATCAAACTGCTCTTTGTTAGTCACATTAATCATTTAATAATCCATTTTCTCTCTGCTGGTAAAGTAACATGTTTTTTTCTATTTGAAGAGGGATCAGTAAGGTAATGCTACCGTGACGGTTTGATTCAGAAGGAGTTTAATGTATAAGATCCCTGATGTTGAGGTAACCAGAATATTTATTTCTACTGTGTACAACATGTTACACAATCTATCTTTATGCAAGGGATAATGTGCAGCGAGGCGGTCTCTATGGGGAAAAGAACACCTGAATCTAGATCCCTCTGCAGGTGGTACTTTAACTATATTTTGATAATACTTTTGTACTTTTACTTGTAACATTTTGAATGCAGGACTTTTTATTGTAACCGAGTAGTCCTACACTCTGGTAGGCTACTTTTACTCAAGTACAAGATCTGAACTTCTCCCACCTCTGACAATAAATCCTGAGTGGTTACAAAAAAAAAACCCTGCTCTGAAGGTTATTTTCATTTTACAAATCCTGCACTCAGCTTTGCTTTCTCCAATATCATTGAAATGCAGCCAGATGCTGCTTATTTTTTCGGTTTTCACTAATTTCTTGACTTTTTCCGACGCGCTTGCATTTAAATCCGGCTCCCCGTCTCCCTGTCGCCCTGCAGCTGGCCTGTACCACTACACCTGCTGTCTTTGGAGCGTCTGCCCCCCACCCTTCTTTCACATGATGGTATGATCCTAGTGTGTCCTCGCATATGATTGGCCGCATGGCGGCCCAAATAAAGACCCACCCCTGCCTGTAAGGATTCTCAGCAAGAGTAGGAGCGGCTGAAGATTCTGCTTTCCCCGACGGGAGTCTGCTTTTCTAGCGGCATCTCGCGATCTGCGTGTTGGAGACCCCTGAATTAAATGATCAAGTCACCTCAAGTCAGAAGGCTCAAGTCCAAGTCAAGTCCCGAGTCATTGGTGTTCAAGTCGAGTTGCAAGTGTTTTGTGATTTTGTCAAGTCGAGTCCAAAGTCATAACATTGGTGACTCGAGTCCCAGTCATGTGACTCGAGTCCACACCTCTGCCGTCTACACACACACCACCAAATGACATACCATCAGCAAGGAAAAAGAGTAAGAACTCAAATGTATTGGTGAAGAGGCACAACGTGTCTACGTCAATGCACTCTTATTAGATTTTTTTTTAAACTATAAGCTTTATCAAAAAGCAAGGTCTTAAGCGCACTCTTAAAAACGGATAGGCTGTCTGCCGCCCGAACACAAACTGGAAGCTGATTCCACAACAGTGGAGCTTGATAATAAAAGGCTCTGGCTCCCATTGTACTTTTAGAGACTCTAGGAACAACCAACAACCCTGTATTCTTGGAACCCAATGCCCTAGTTGGACAGTAGGGTATAATGAGTTATTGCTAAGATGGCGCCTGCCCATTAAGGGCTTTGTAGGCGAGAATAACAATTTAAAATGATTTCCTGTGTTCTTTAGGGAGCCAGTGTAAGGCAGCCAAAACTGGAGTAATGTGGTCCCTTTTCCGAACTCTAGTTAATACACATGCTGCAGCATTTTGAATGAGCTGAAGCGACTTAACTGACTTTTTGGTACACCCTGATAATAAAGAGTTACAATAATCTAGCCTTGAAGTAACAAATGCATGGACTAGTTTCTCTGCATGGTTTTGAGGCAAGATATGCCTGATTATTTGCAATGTTACGTAGATGAAAGAAGGCGGTCCTTGAGATTGATTTTATGTGGGCGTTAAAAGATAAATCCTGATTAAATATAACACCAAGATTTCTTACAGTCTCACTGGAGGCCAAATTAATGCCATCCATAGTTAATATATCTTTAGATAGTTTGTTTGGTAGATTCTTTGGGCCGAGTACAATAACTTCAGTTTTGGCCGTGTTTAACATAAGGTTATCCACGTTTTTAAGTCCTTGAGGCAGTCTTGAATTTCATTTAGATGATTGGACTCATCAGGCTTGATAAGTATCGTTGAGTATCATCCGCATAACAATGGAAATGTACAGAATGTTTCCTTATAATATTGCCTAACGGAAGCATATATAGTGTGAACAAAAGAGGTCCAAGCACTGAGCCCTGTGGCACTCCATGGCTCACTTTGGTTTGCATGGAAGATTCATTGTTGACACACACAAACAGAGACCGTTCAGATAGATAGGACCTAAACCAGCCTAAAGCAGTTCCCTTTATGCCAACTAAGTGCTCTAGTCTTTACAATAGGATATCATGGTCGATAGTATCAAATGCAGCACTGAGATCGAGCAAGACAAGAATAGAGACAAGTCCTTTGTCTGAGGCTATTAGAAGGTAATTTGTGACTTTAACCAGAGCTGTCTCTGTGCTATGATGTGTTCTA